ACTGCCACAAACAGTTTCCCAGTTTAAGTGTGATGGGATAGCTTGGATTGAGTGGGAGACTTTTAGCGGAGGCGCTGAGATGTGGCTGTACCAACTCAGCCTGAAGCCATCACAGATATCGGGCTTGGTAGAGGCAGTTAATGCAGTCAGAGCAACACAATGAAATCCCTGTGTTATTGGGAAGTGCACTCTCTGATATGTAAGCAGGGATTTATCTGCTGACTCAGCCTCTTATACAGATTAGCAGGGACAGGAGAGTCACCCGGATGCATGTTTAAAGGACGAGTGTGACAGACCGGCGTGATCAGAACTAAAAGGCTGGGATAAAAGCTTCCAGGGTCATATTCTGCTGGCAGAACTGGTGTAACGTGTGCATATGCGTGAAAACAAAGCTATTTTCTGTCTGCTTCTGCCTGTCTTTGGTGAGATTTGAATTACAGTGGAAATAGCAAAGTATCTAGAGGCTCCATAAAAATTAAAGCTTGAATGAACACCCTTTGGAGAACTGGGAAAACATATAACAGCCGAAGATTTGGAAACTACACTGTCAATAGGAAGAATATGTTTATGATCTGATCTACAATACTTATATAAGAAGCTATTAATTGTTTGTGGAAAGCAAAGAAATATGCATGTGTTGCAGGTGATATACCGTACTAAGATCTTGTGCGTAGCATTAATAGCAGCCATGGCTGACTGCTCTGTGCTACTGGCTGTCGCCATGGAGAGTTTGGGAAAGCAGACGTCATTGTTTCAATATCTGAAAGCATTACACTCCAAGCATTCCTCCTTGTTTGCACCTTCTTTGACTTCTATGCCAATATGTGACAAGTGAATTTCTTCGCTGTGAGATCAATAAAGCTCATCTAATCTAATCTAATCCATTGCATCTTCTTTCCACATGCTGTGGATCAACAAAGTTAAAAGAGAAATCTCTTTTTGCTTGCTTTATTAAGACAATATAAGAGTGTTTGGTTTATTACCTCCGTCAAGCAGGTTATGTTTTTCAGAGAGTTTGCATGTGTGTCTGTCTGTCTGTCTGTCTATCTGTGTACAGGATAACTTGAAAAGTTTTTACCAAAGGTGCTCCTCAGTCCAAGGAACAATCCATTAAAATTTGGTGGATCATTATTTGGATCCAAGAGTTTTTTGAAAGTTTCTGTGAATACAAGTATTAAGTTAAGTTGGAAGTCACAATATGTCAGGGTAAATGAGCTACTTGGCAGAGGTCTGACCAGAGGAAGCTTAA